AAAAAATTAAAATATTAAAAATCCTTGTTTTTCAAAGGACAGATTATGTTACTTGAGGTAGGCTGCATTTGCACAGCCACACTCATTAACCAGTGACTGTTCTCTGCTGTGAGGCAAAGAAATAGACTGGCAGGTGAGGAGGTACTCCTCACAAGAGTTATTGTCAGATGAAAGCAACCCTGTTCCTTAAGTCTTTTACCACAAAATCTGGTTCTCTTTCTTGTATACTAATATTAGTAGGGACAGTGTCAAGTTTGGCTTTTGTGTTTTGTGGCCACAGGGAAATGTGGAATGGGTAAACAAAAATGTTAGATATTTTTGGTTACCTATTTATACAAATAACAATTTCAACTCATTCTTTGAGCATGAATGAACTAAATGCTAAGGAGTACATATTTAATTTTTCTCGTGTTTACAGTGGTAGAAAGCTCTCCATTACATGATATAAAAATGCCAAGAATTATGCTGTATTTTCCTGACCAGTCAAGCCATTGCTATGTAGAAAGTGAAAATGTAATTCTGATAGATTCATTTATTATTTTTAATTCACTGAGAGCTTCAGAAGTATTTTGATGAATAGATGTGCTTCTAAAGTAGTAGACATACCAAGAATGGCATGGTATGAAGATATGTTTACAAAACCAAGTGTGTGTGTATGTGCTTATATATGCAATTAAGAGAGGAAAAAAAAGTCTGTAGACTAAAACCTATTTGTCATTCAGATGCATTTTTATTCTTAGATTGTATGAATGGCTTTGGTTTGAAGGGACCTTATAGGTCATGTAGTTCAATCCCGTGCATGGGCAGGGACACCTTCCACTGGACCAGGTTCCTCAAAGCTCCTTTCAACCTGGCCTTCATCTGGTAATAATTCCCTAGATATGGTATTTATGCTCTTTATTCAAGCAAAGTATTGCTTTAATTGCTGCTTGTTTGTGGCATGTTTTTCAGGGTAAACTTTTATGCAATTTGTCAGAGTACACTTAATAAATTATCTAACTAAGGTAGTTCCATAAACATGTACACATTTTAATTTATAATTTTGGTGAGATCATTACATAAAAACTGTAACAGTTGTTACTGAATAATAATGTGATCTAAAGCTTTCAGGATAAAAAAGAAGGGCACAGAAAACCTGAAAATTTAGTTTTCTGCTAGAGAGAGGGAGGTTTAATGGAGCAAATTCTGAAATCCCCTATCAAATTTGTCCTAAATTAAGAAAATTCTTGCTCTTTTCCTGATAGAGAAACTTAATGTTTAACCTAATATAATTTGTAAGTGTAAAGTTTTAACTATTTTTAATTTTATGCCAAAAATATGCTCTGAGTAGATGTTAAATGTGATGCAGTATGGGGAGCATAACTCTATAATCAAGTACAGCTGGAAAGAAGCTGAGAGTCATTGAAAAGCTGAGGTGCATATAGGAAAGAGGAGGTTTCCAAGGAATAATGGGTTTAAAGTAAGTAGAGGAAGAGGAAGCCAAAGCAAGGGGGACGTTTTGATGTGTAATGCAACAGGGAGACAAAAAAATTAAAAGTTTGGGCAGATGGAAAGGAAGGTATGGCATGAAAGTAGGGAAGAAAGGTAAAATAGTGGTGCATGGTCTGACCCCATAGGTGATCCTGCTTTGAGCAGGAGTTTGGACTAGAGACCTCCTTCCTTCCAGCCTGAATCATCTAGTGGTCCAATGAAAAACTGTATTTTGTCAGTGGAGTATTAAAATTCTTTGTGATATGGCTGTAGCTTTCCAGAATTACTGGAAAACTGGAACATAGGAAGTTCCATTTAATTATGAGTGAAAACTTCTTTATGGTGAGGGTGAAAGAGCACTGGAACAGGCTGTCCAGGGAGGTTGTGGAGTCTGAAGGTATTCCAGACCCACCTGGCTGCAGTCCTGTGTAATGTAGGGATCCTGCATCAGCAGCAGAGTTGGACTAGATGATCGCTAGAGGTGCCTTCCAGCTCTGACAATCCCAGGATTCTGTGATCCATGATTCCATGACTGTTCCATTCACCCAGTAGTATTTCTGAAAACCAGGAATGAAATGCTGCATGCTCTTAGCTTTACTGGCTTTCAGCAGAACTCATTACATTCACGGAGTTAGGAGCCAGCACGGCAGCTGTGCCCACTGGCCTTGCTGTGGTTGCACTGAGCGACAGAGAGTTCCATCAGCTTATCCAAGGTGGGGCGCAGGCAGTCTCAGGGAGGAAGGCTTTACTCAGCCTTCCTTACCACAATACAGCAAAGGTGCAGAATGTCTAAATTAACACAGAGATCTTTTTGGCCATGTGAAATAGTTGGGTTTTAAATGGAAATTGAGTTTTGAGCTGGAAGAAAACTGTTACTTTCCTATGATGATTTTATAAACATTTTATTTCCAGGCTTTCTTTCCCATTTTTATTGGTAATTTAAGAGCATGCAGCATCTTTCCAATGTGTGTATTATGATTATTTTCTTCATACTTTATTAATAGATTTTCCCCTCTATAACGTTACATGCCTCCTCCAATTTAAAACCAGAATTTTTCACATTATTCAAATTTGCTTTCTTCTTTCTTAAATTCAACCTGAAAATCTTAGTTGCTGTTTTTGTAGTCTTACCTCCTTTTTCATTTACATGAGTTAGAGGTTTATGAGGGCTGGGGAGAGAAGTGACATGGGCTTTTACAGCTACAGTCTTTGAGCAGCCTCTTGTGAGGTTACTTTTGACATTTGCTGTTGACAACTGAATTCTTTTTAAAAAGAGCTGTCCCGAGTGTAAGTTGTGGTGCCTTTTTGGATTCCATAACCTTCTTCCACATGTGAATTTTTGTAATAGCTCAAATCTGACCTTCTTCATGAAATTACTTAGTTCCTTAGAATCAGAGTTCTTGATATCTGTTGTGCCAGTGTGGTTTATAATGTACATCTATCTTATATATGCATTCCATGTACAGTACTAAATTCAAGTGGCTCTTGCTCTGCTTTCAATTTACCCACCGTTTCCTATCTGCTGATAAGAAATTAATTCAATATGGTATCCCATTGACCCATTTTTTAGACTGTTAAGCTCGGTATACTTTTTTCCCCGTGAATCTATGGGAATATAATTTCTCCCACAGTTGTGGTATCTTGTGATTTCCAGTCCTGTGAGAACTGGCCATGCATTTTTTTTTTATTCTTACTTTCATCTGGTTGTGATGTTTCATAAGCAGATGTTTATTGTTCTCTTTCTTCTTCCCCCCCCCCATCCTCCCGTTCTAGCTAGCTTAATACAAAGCCAGTTGTTACCACTGTTTTTGTTTTCACCTTATAAATATTGGAAATTATAAATGCCTATCATACATAAAATAATTGTAATTATCTCATCTTTTGGGATCCTTTGGGGTTAATTCACTTTTCTCGCTCACAAACAATGTTTAAAAATCACAAGTTGCTTTCCAATAATATTAACTCTACAGCAGCTTTAAAAATAATTTTCAAGTCTGTGTGTCTATTTTTGTGAAGAAGTCTTTGAGTTTACAAAAGAAAGTGAGATGTTTACTTTAGTAATGCATCTGATTGAACTTATTGTGTGGTATGCAATTATAAAAAAAAATTCCACATGCAACAAATATGTATCTTTATATTCAGACTCGTTTGAAGAGCACTTAGGCCATGTTTTTATGATTTCTTTTATGTCTTTCACTACTAGTGTAGTTTGTGGTGGCGTTTGGTATATTTCTGTCCCTGAAGTTTCCTTGAAGTCTGCTTTCAACATAATTAGACTTTACATTTATGAAAATGTAGCTGCTTATGGAATGGATGCCTCAGAGACACTGGAGATTTTATGTTTTGGTCTGCATATTAATTCGACATCTAAAGGAAAAAATCCTGAATTAGAAGTGAGACTTCCAGACTTGAATTATTTTTGTTTGCTTAAAGGAAAATCCTCACTGAATCTTGAAACTGTAGTCAATAACAAGAGGACATACTGCTTTTCTGAAGTATTTGCTTTATGGAACAGATAGGAGATAACTTGAAACTATTGTTCTTGGTATCAGCAAATTATTGTAATTTTTTTCTCCTGCCAGTAAAAGATCTAAGAAGTTCCTCATTCCAAGATCTTGGTTGCTGACTTTTTTGTTATTGAGGTGAACAGTTATACCTATTGTCTCCCTGAGCAGTATATTCAGTACATTTTTGGGGGCTGTTATGTAGTATATATTGCTGGGAAGATGATCTATACTGTCTCCTAGATTTTCTTTCTTTTCTCAATATTGCTGACATTGCATTTAGTGGTCTATTGAAGTGGTAAGTGGTATGGAGTTTGCAAAAAGTTGTTGTTTTGATTGTTGTATAGCCTCAGTAATGAGACAGGGAACTACTAGAGAGAGTCCAGCAGAGAGAAACAAAGATGACTGGGAGATTGGAGCATCTCTTTCATGGGGAAAGGCTGAGAGAGCTGAGACTCTTTAGCCTGGAGAAGGCTGAGGAGAGACCTTATTAATGCCTACAAGTATCTAAAGGGTGGGTGCAGGGAGGATGGAGCCAGACTTTTCAGTAGTTCCCAGTGGCAGGATGAGGGGCAACAGGCACAAGCTGGAACATAGTAGGTTCCAGTTAAATATAATGAAAAACTTATTTACTTTGAAGGTGACAAAGCACTGGAACAGGCTGCCCAGGGAGGTTGTGGAGTCCCCTTCTCTTAAAATACTCAGAACCCTCCTGGATGCAGTGCTGAGTAATGTGCTCTAGGTGATCTTGATTTAGTGGGGGAGTTGGTCTAGATGATCTCTACAAGTCCCTTCTAACTCTGACGGTTCTGTGATTCTGTGACCTGAACAAATACCTTTTCATGGAAGTCCTGTATTTAAATGGGCTCTACTTATACTGAATGTCCCTTGAGATAAGTCATCTTAAAATTAAATTTACAGCTGTTGAAAAGTTTCTGTCAAGAGATGACTGTATATGGATTGAAAGTAATGTTTAGCAGATTAGTAATTTATTTATCTTATGAAAGTTTTTTTTCTTGATCACAGACAACCTATCACAACAAGTTTGTGTTATTACCAGTGTGAAGGAATCTGTTGCACAAGTAGGTTTTGTCCTTCATGAATCTCTGAAAAGACAAATAAAAGTAAGTACAACTCTATGGCTGTAAACTGAACAATTAAATGAATGTTTCTGGTTATTGCAACTTGTAAGGAGTATCTAAATAATGTGAATACAGCAAATGAGGCCTCCTGTGTCAATGTAATATTTGTTACAAGGGATTAACAAAAGGCATCTCCTGCCCAATTATAGTGTAGAGGGAGATTTTACAGATCCTCTTAAAATGTATATATTAGATGAGAAATTGCATCTAGACAACAGAGAGGCCATTTTCTTTAGATTTTATAAATTCAGTAATCCCAAAATGCTACAGATATGCTACAGAGGAAATACTTTTGTTACTTTGAAGTCAGAATAAATTAATAAGCTGTATTCCTGCAGAGCTGCAAATGCCGAGTCAAATTAATCAGCCTTTTTGCAGAGAGATCTGGTATGTTTCACTTGTAGCAAATGCTAATTGAAGCCTTTGCTGTAGGATATTGCTGGAGTATTTTACAGGCTTTTAAGCATCTTTACCTTTTTCATTATTTCTACTAATAGAACTATCACAAATTTTCATTTTCCTGAAGGAAATTAACATGTGGTAATTGCTTAAATCTTGACTGATCTTGGAGTGAGTCTTAATTATGTCTTATGTGATGCACATCTTTCTGTTACCCAGAGAAATAGATGGGGAACAGCTTTTCAAAAATACAGATTTCCAGATTTGCATCATTTTACTACTTTAATAGTTTTATTCATGCCCGCTGATCTTCTGCATTATATGCTTTGTTAATAGTAGGATGTTCTTCTGTAGCAAACTGTATTACTATTTTATATCTAGAAATGGCATTTTACAATCTACTTACAGTTTTTCTTTGGAAAGAATTGTACTCAGTATGGAAAGTCATGCTTTCTATCTATTAAACACCTACATTTTAGAAGTGCAAAATATGAGGGGAGTAGAATAGTTTTTTTTTCTAATCAGAATAGCTGTGTAATGGAGCCAGAAATAGTTTCCATTTCACTGATCCATTGATGTTTTTCCATTTTTCTCTCTATTTAGAGTATTCTGCAATTGCTAAGAAGACATCACTTACTCATATTAGAAAAAAACTACTTCTTTAAGTATATCTATCTATTATGTTTGCATGTAACCATTTCAGTCATACCATGAGAAACACTTCCAAACCAGTGAGAATATATTTTATTTGATTAGCCAACAATGTGACTCCAAATTTAGCAACCTCAACTCAGGCTGCCAACAAAATGAGTTAAAATTCAAGTTTGCAAATATTCATTGTAAAACCAGTAAAGTGTTGTGTTGGTCAAGCACTTGAACCTATGGTGCATTTGAATAAAACATAAAATTATCACAAGCATTATATGAAGCAATACTGATATGGGACTGATTATTTTTTTAATGGCTCCATTAAATTAGTTGATGATTTCTAGCACCATTCTTCTCTTTTTCAATCCATATGGTCTTTCCTGATAGTAAAGTCCATTGATAAGCTTCTCTTCAACATTTTCAAAAGATTCCTGCAATGTGACACCTGTCAAAAAACTCCATCAAGATTCCTGTCTTGTAAAGTTCCTTGAAACAGGCTTAGTCATTTGTTTTATGAACCATTAGATTGAAAATCTGTCAGAACTATTATTTATGTATTCAGTGTCTTGTTTTTAAACAGTGTAATGTCTAAGAGTTAAGTTTTCAGCTTACCAATATACAGAACAGCTAAATCTGAGAACCTTAGAAAGAATCTATGCACTGGGCTGTGATTTCTCAAGTGAAGCACAGCATTCTTGTGAGAGAAAGATTTGACTGTACAACGTGGTAATTATTTTAAGCAAGTTAAATATATCATACTGAAAGCTGGGTCTTTTCAATGGGGTGATTGGTGGTTAATCGATCTAAATAAATCAGTAATTGGGAGTCATTCAGTAAAGTACATGTTATCTGAAATAATTGTGGTTGATATTTTAACATTTTAGATAGTTTTGGCACTCTAGTTCTTAGTAGCAGCCATATTTACTTTTAATTTCTAGATGCTTCTTAAAAAAAAAATCTTTAAAGAGGAATTAAAACAAAATATTGCTACAGGGATTTCTGCAAAAGGCTGCAAGAACATGATAGTGCAAATAATGGGGAAAAAAGACCTACACGTTGAACTGATGAGATAAAGAAAAATTAAAAGCTTTTCTTAAAAAAAAAAATTAAGGCGACAGTTATTGCTTGCTAAGTTCTATAAGAATTAAGTATTTTAATCAGGGTTATTGTAAACTGTATAACTAATAAACGAATGTTTTGGAGAAGAGATTTTACTGTTCAAAACATAAGCTGAGTCTTATGTTTGTTATTTAGTCCTTTCTTTTGAAACAATTAAACCTAAATGGAGGCTGAAGCCTTCTGTGACAGTAAAATTATGTACTCCTGCTTATTTAGTGACATGGTGCTCCTGTCACATGAAATGTAATCAATTGGATGAAGTTGTGTGTTATTTTTATGACTGGATAAATATCTACAAACAGCGTACTAAAATATTTGGTTGTTCTCAATTAGGAAATGAACTAGTGTTTTACTAGTAGAAATTCACTAATATCTTAATCATTGTGTGGTCTGTCTACTGGATTGGTATTGTAATCTTACATAGTTTGACTAACTTTTACAGATTCCCTATGTCCTGGTGTTATTTTTTTACTTTATGGAAGTGAATGTTGAATAAAGTTGAAAGGGCATCTGAGAAGTAGAAAAACATTAAAGAGAACATATTTATTATTCCTGTTTTCATGTTCATAAAACTTTCCGTCTCTGCTTCTTTACAGTAGCTGAATATCAATGGCTACAATGACCAGAGTGATTAAGCAAATCTATATACTTGTTTCCATTTAAACACTTGAAACACTATGTGCAAACACTTCTTACTGAGATGATATTTTTAGGTAATTTTTGCTCTCTCAAGTAGCTGACAGCTTGATTAAGATTAATTTTAATTAAAAAAAATACTTTTGCATAGGATACTAACATGCCAAATAGAATAGGAGTTAATTTTAATTAATTAGTGTTGTAGCAAGGCTTCTAGTTAGGCAGCTGTGCCTACTTTTCCAAGAGAGAAATCTGATTTAATTATTGCTGGATAGTAGGGCTGTAAAACAAAGGCTTAGTATATTGCTTTATCAAATTGTTCAAGTTAAATAAAAAAACTACTATCATCTTGGTGTATCTGCAAACTTACTGAGGGTGCACTTTACCCCCATGTCCAGATAATTGATCAAGATAATAAACAGAACACACAGTTAAAGGTTGTAAAACAAGTATGACTGTGACTGTTTTTAGAGTACTTACTGAGGAAATTATTTTCAGGAGAAATTCTTAATTAGTCTTGTCCTGTGCAGAATCCTAGAATACGTGTGTCCTGGTCTTTCATGCCTGCTTCATTTATTTTATGTTTGGTTGCATGAAGACAAAATATGCATGTATTTGTATATTATAGAGATTTCTTCAAAATTAGAGGTCTAACATAATTAGATTATCTCAGTCCTACAAGCAATCATCTCTGGGAATAGCTAAACATCCTAACCCAGGCAGCAGCACTGGTGTATGGTACTTTGAGGGCTGTTTTTGGAATAATCCCCCCTAGCAGTGCACTTCAGCAAAAACTGGCAGAAAACTCTGCAGAGTGCTGGGCAAAATGCTTCACTTCTGGGTTACCTAAAAATCTGAGCCATTTTGAATTTCTCATACTGGAAATAATAATTGCCAGTTTAAAGTAATTTGGGTGAAGAAACTATGCCATAATGGTTGAGACTTTAGCAGATAGTTTTAGGTCAAGTTTGTGACACAGTAATTCTTTCTTTTTTTTTCTATCCAGGTTGAAGCTGTATCAGTATCTCCAAGTGTAAATGACAGCCATCTACAAAACATCTTTTCAGGACAGTGCTACAATTTTGTTTGCATAAATGTAAGTAATAATGATGCATGCTTTTAGTTTTGCACTTGAACTTCCTATTAAATATGTAGTTATTATTTACCATTACTAAGAAGCTGTTTATTTCTATTTTCCTGGTATATCTATTCCAATGTTTGGTGTTTCTGATGTACATCAAACTAGACCTTTGAGATACTGGTCTGTTCTTTCTCTCCTGGTTTTCTATTTCCATCAGTATGTTGCTAAATCAGCCTTGAATTCTTGAACAAGAGGGATGCAACTGAAAGTTGCTTAAGGTTTCCTTTGATAGATACCGTATTGAACTGAATTGTCTCAAGAAATATGCCATATGTGTTCCCATCTAACTGTGTGTTTCTACTATGGTCTAAGTCAGGGTTTCCCATTTGGGGCACATGGCATGCTGTGCAATCTGTATTTGGGTACCTGTATGGGAATAGGAAGATTTTAGATTAACCATACCTGAGACCAATCAAGACCCTTAAGCTTGTTATATATAGTTCTTAAGGGTAATATTTTTAATCTCAGTTTTTTTAAACAGCTGTAACTTTACCAGACTAAAGTGTTACAAATATATCAAAACCAACCAAGCAAATTAAACGCCCCCTCAAACCAAAAATGTGGGGTTTTTTTTTCAGCAAATATCAAATCTTTGCATTCAATTTTTAAGAAATTATTTATGTTTTCAGTAATTCTAAGTACTTATTTTAATTTATAGGATAAAAAGTTTGACATTCAAGAAATCCAGCAACTAGTGGCTATGTTGGAAAAATCAAATATTCCTCTCTTATATCCGGTTGTCCTAATTTCGGTAGGTAACTCTTGTAAGTTACTGTGGAAATGTTAGATAGGTTTGAACTGCTGCTGGCTCTGAATAAAACTGTAAATTTGAACTGCAGAATGGACTGTAAATAGCATAATTTGCACCTCAGCAAATGCACTGCATGCTGTCAGGAAATATGCCAATACTAGCAAATGACAATTTATTAATTGTAGTTCTGTGAAAGACTTATTGTGGCTAGTCATGTTGAACTGTTAACTCCTGCTTTGCTGTTGCACTCTATCTGGGGATTCTATAAATTATGTATTCTGCTTGAATGCTCAGTTGTAGCAGAATTAAATGGCTTTTTTTTTCCTGTGCTGTGTCATTTATTCAAAGTTTTAAAATTATTGTTGCTTTTCTGGTCTAAGTATTAAAAATTAACTTTTAAGTACTTTGCAATAGAACTTCAAATCTTGAATACTTCAATACTTGAGATGTTGCAAGACTGAAAAATCTATTCTGGTATGTTGCAAAAGTTTGAAAGTGTATTTCTGGCTGAAATTCTCAATATTTGAACATGGCTGCAGTGATCATGAGATGGTGGAGTTCAGGATCCTGTGTTTGAGGAATAGAATACCTAGCAAGACCACAACCCTGGACTTCTGCAGAGCCAACTTTGGCCTCTTCAATTGTTAAGGGAAGTCTCATGGGACAGGGTACTAGGTGATAAAGGGGCTCAAGATAGGTGGTCAGCATTGAAGGACCACTTCTCCCAAGCTCAGGATCAGAGCATCCCAATGGGTAGGAAATCAAGTAAGGGAGCCAGGAGACCCTCATGGTTAAACAAGGAACTGCTGGGCAAACTCAAGTGGAAAAAGAGAATCTACAGATCTTGGAAGAAGGGGCTGGCCACATGGGAGGACTATAGGACTGTTGTCAGATGATGTAGGGAGGCAATTAGGTAACTAAGGCCTCCTTGGAACTTAACCTTGCAAGTGAGGTCAAGGACAATAGAAAGGGCTTCTTCAAATACATTGCAGATAAAACTAACTCTAGAGGCAACATAGGCCCACTGCTGAATGAGGTGAGTACCCTGGTTACAGAGGATACAAAGAAGGCAGAGGTACTGAATGCCATTTTTGCCTCTGTCTTTACTGCTGCAGACTCTCCCCAGGAGCCCCAGAAAGAGTCAGGATAAAGGAGGAGTTTGCTTTGGTATATGAGGATTGGTTTAGGGATCAGTTAAGCAATCTGGACATCCATAAGTTGATGGGTCTGGATGGAATGCATCCAAGGGTGCTGAGGGAGCTGGTGGAGGTCATTGCTAGGCCACTCTCCATCATCTTTGGTAAGTTGTGGGAAACAGGAGAGATGCCTAAGGACTGGAAGAAAGCAAATGTCACTCCAGTCTACAAGAAGGGCAAGAAGAAGTACCCAAGTAACTATAGACCAGTCAGCCTCACCTCTATCCCTGGAAAGGTGATGGAACAACTTATTCTTGGCACTGTCTCTAGGCATATCAAAGTTGATATGCCTAGAGCAGTCAACGTGGTTTTAGCAAGGGGAAGTCATGTTTGACCAACCTTATAGCCTTCTATGAGGAAATAACTAGGTGGACAGATGATGGTAGAGCAATTGATGTGGTTTATCTTGATTTCAGTAAAGCATTTGACACTGTCTGCCATGGCATCCTTGTAAATAAACTGAGGAAGTGTGGTCTTGATGATCAGGTAGTGAGGTGGATCATGAACTGGTTGAAAAGAAGTCAGAGAGTTGTGGTCAATGAGACAGAATCTAGTTGGAGGTGCGTGACTAGCGGAGTCCCTCAGGGGTCGGTACTGGGACCAGTACTATTCCATATTTTCATCAATGACCCGGATGAGGGAGCAGAATGTGCCTTCAGCAAGTTTGCTGATGACACTAAACTGAGAGGTGTGGCTGACACACCAGAAGGCTGTGCTGCCATTCAGAGAGACCTGGACAGGCTGGAGAGTTGGGCAGGGAGAGACTTGATGAAATTCAACAAGGGCAAGGGTAGAGTCTTGCATCTGGGGAAGAACAAGCCCAGGTACCAGTACAGGTTGGGGGCTGACCTGATGGAGGGCAGTGTAGGAGAAAGGGACCTGGGGGTCCTGGTGGACAGAAGGATGACCATGAGACAGCAATGTGCCCTTGTGGCCAAGAAGGCCAATGGCATCCTGGGGTGTATTAGAAAGGGTGTGGTTAGTAGGTCAAGGGAGGTTCTCCTTCCCCTCTATTCTGCCTTGGTGAGGCCACATCTGGAATACTGTGTCCAGTTCTGGGCCCCTCAGTTCAAGAAGGCCAGGAAACTACTTGAAAGAGTCCAGCGCAGGGCCACAGAGATGCTGAAGGGAGTGGAACATTTTCCTTATGAGGAAAGGCTGAGGGAGCTGGGTCTCTTTAGCTTGGAGATAAGGAAACTGAGAGGTGACCTCATCAATGTTTACAAATATGTAAAGGGTGAGTGTCAGGAGGACGGAGCCAGGCTTTTTTCAGTGATGTCCAATGATAGGACAAGGGGCAATGGATGCAAACTGGAGCATAGGAGGTTCCATGTAAGTATCAGGAAGAACTTTACTGTGAGAGTGACAGAGCACTGGAACAGGCTGCCCAGGGAGGTTGTGGAGTCTCCTTCACTGGAGACATTCAAAACCCGCTTGGACACGTTCCTCTGTGACGTGCTCTAGGTGATTCTGCTCTGGCAGGGGGGTTGGACTAGATGATCTTTCGAGATCCCTTCCAGCTCCCAGGATTCTGTGATTGCTGACAGAATAATTTTAGCAGTTCATGTGGATGACAGTTGAAGGTGTACATGACTTTTATTTTACTCAGACTATTAAGAAAGAAAAAATATGAGTAGATTTGGAAGTCTCTATGCAATGTAACAAGATCTAATGAATTCTGTCATTAAGTTTTCTGGCTTAATAGGTAGGGATGAGAAGTATAGGGTGGAATGAGTGTCATTAATGCCATGTGTCACAAGGAGTGTGTCTCTGAACTACATTCATTATACTCTTCAGCAATAACCCAAGATAATATGCTGTGACTTTAAAATATTATTCCATATTTAAAATAAATAAATGGTTCTTTTACATGGAAGTTTAATATTTTCTGAAGTGCATAGTCTAGTGATCTGGAGGGAAAAAGGAGCAGTTACTTTGCAATTTTAGGCTTAATCTCAAATTCAAGTGATGAAATGTCATTATTGGTCTAACAAATAAATGAGATATCATGAATATCAGTTTTTACAAATGGAAGAAGTTATATTCTTACCTATTTATGCTGTTGTCTTGGAGTAAGCTACTGTGATTCTACAAGCATCAATATTTAGCACTTTATTTATACACTTTTTTTCTTGACCGAATTTCTGAGGGAACTCAGAGTAGAGCTTTGATTTTACTGAATTTTCAAAGATAAATTATTTCTGCCTTTGGTAGTCAGAGCAATGACACATCTCCAGTTCTTTTGCCCATTGGCAAGGCTGCTGGGTGTGCAGAATGCTTTTTTCTGGACTGATAATGTTTTCACTAGTCCTTTATCAAGAATATATAAACAAATGTTCTCACTGTTAAATTTTGAAAGTGTGCAGTTAAAGCTGGAAGTGTTAGCCAACTACAGAGTTAAAAGTGTACTTATTTTGTGCCTCATTCATAGCTGATCCCTACTCTGGGCTTTAAATTATGTGCTTCTTTGTGTGACATGTGGAATGTGAGAGCTTGGTTTTAATAATTGTAGCTATATATATTCTGGCCTTATTATTATCTGAGAAATAGGTATGAATTCCAACGATGCTGACACAAGCTCACCATGAAACTTGGATTTTGCCCCTAAAATACTAGAGCTTAAAGTCATGGTAGAATCTAGCACCATTTTAAGTGAGAGTGTACTTGCTTGGGCAGCCTGCAGCATGCACAGATTATTTAGGTGGACACCTTTTAAAATAGCCTCAGCAAATGATGCACTTAATCCCTTTACTGTGCACCAGATCAGTCAGTTCTGACAACTACTTGAAATTTCCCCAAAACTAGACAGTGAGAGAAAAGTCTTATAACTATGTGGAAAGACTTGCTAACATGTAAAACACAGATACACATATATTGGTTAAAAGTATCTCTAAAAAATGAAGTACACCACTACAAAAAGGTATCTTACACTACATTTTCAAATTTTATGGAGTTATCACACTATCTTTTAGAAACACAAGAAGGAAAATAATAGGAGGACTGAAAAGTATGTTTTAAATGACTAAAGAATTAGCTAAACAAATCATTGTCTCGTATTAGTCACTGGGAACTATTAAAATGCTTTAAACTTCTGATCCCTAAAACTCATTACAGATGGTATGGCTGGGGGATAGAAACTTCCTTCAGCAGTTTGTAATTAAATTCAGTGTTGGGTGTCAGTATAAATGGAACAAGGTACAAAGGGAACTTGAAATAATTTTCCCAAGCACAGATCTCTGGGGATACCTGTATGCTCTTCCCTCTCTGTACTACTTACAAGGAAGTTTTAAATCCATAGAATTATTCAGCCATAAAAAATATTTTCCATTTCTTTTAAGGGGAAAGGTATTTCTGCTATTAACAGATGCTGAAACTTTATTTGTACAAATCATCATCCTTAATTTTGATTTCTACAGTTTACAGAAACTCTGTGAAGTAAACTAATTAAACTGTGGAGCACATAAGCCTTGGTAAAGGATTGAGCTGGTTGGTACCTCCTTGGAGATACCAGCCAGGTCCTGTAAGACCTACTGTGCTTGTGCAACATGCCTGCTGGATATGAGACCTGGCCAGGACAGTCATGTCCCTACCTTCCTTTGAAGTCGTTCCTACTTTTAAACTTAAAGTGTTATCTTGAAGTTAATACAACTTGGGCAACTAATATGCTATACTGAAAAGGTAGTGAATGTAAAATAAAATTTTAAAGAATGCAGTTCCATTTTGAAAATATTTAAGATGCTTAAGAAAACACCTGTATTTCTCTAGTATCCTGCTACTAAAAAATGAATAAATTAAAAGAAAAACTATGAAAGTTAGATTAGGTCTTGGAAAATAATACTGTTTGTTTTATATAAAAGTAGTGGAATTCAATAGTAATAGAAGCTAACTAAGAAAAACCTTTGTTAGTCTGTATGTTTTTGTTACATTTTTAAAACACACAAAGATGAGATACTAAAAACTGGCAACGTAATGTAGCACACCATGGAAAAAGTAGACTTTTTAAAATTATTATTATTTCTTCCTTTGCAGGTACACTTGGATATTTCAGCAAACATTTCTTTCCATATTGGAATGGAAGAACTAACTGGGATCAAGAAATTTGCAAGGGAAGTGAAAAAGAAAAATATTTTGGTTTATAGTCTCCTTATCCAACATAAGGTATGACATTTTTTTATGTGCAAAGTATCTTCCTTTGTGATTTGTATGATTAATGATAGACTCTTCATTTAAAATAAAATCAAAGGGAAATAAGTATGACATGAAGAAGAGATTTGGGGAAGATTCTTGCCTATTCTTGTTCAAAATTCAGAAGAGCCTGTAGTTATAGGCAAAAACGTAAGCATTTTGATTAGAGAGGATTAAATGGTAAACATTCTTTAGAAGCATGTGAAAATGTCGAGGCTCCTTGTTTTTCTTTTGCTTTTCTGCTTTGAAACTTGGTTTTTGCAGCATTAAAAAATAGTAAAAGTACATTTGATCAGTGATTCTGTAGAATTTTACATTCCTCATCCAAACAATGTTTGTATTCACCCATTTAGCCTAGGAAGTGTGTTCCACCAACAAGATAAGTGGACTACCTGGCCTCCAGTGCAGATACAGTCTTTGCAGCTTCTTAGCTTAGTCAATAGTGAAGGAAGAAGTAACTTGGATATTCGGTGGAAATTTTAATAAGGCAAAATAAATGTAATCTCAACGGATCTTATTTAGGTTAAGTTAGGTGTTTGGTTTTATGTATAATTGATTAAACATGACTGTATCTACATAACTTTTTATGGTTTACCAAAGACTTGATTTCTCCTCCAAATTCAGTGGCTTTATTGAGAGCTGTGTGTATGAATACCTATCAGTTTATGCTTTTACAGACTTCTGATGCCAACAGAATATGAATAATTCTACTATATGGCATTAGTTTATCTCTTTGTACAACATACAAGGGCATACAACTATTTTCAGTCTTCTTTCTGGCACTATCAAACCTCCCAGGGTAAATTCTGGCTTCCTTTGGTAAAAATAATTTTAGTAATTGTTGAAACATAGCTCTAAGAGGCACCTTATCATGGTAAAGAGTAACATTGCAAATAGTGCTTTAGTGTAAGTGCAGTTCTTTCCTTAAAAACTTCACTGGTTGTATTTATGATTTTATATGAAAAGGGATCAAATATACATATGTGTATAACAACAGTTAGTAAAGCTGACTGGGGAAAAAAGCAAAGCGTTCATAATTTTCAGTGGCTTTTTGTCACCATAGCAGCAGAATGCTTTATCATAGTAAATAGTAATAGGCATATATAACAATGTAAGATCTGAATGGAGAGTCTTTGCAGAATTGCAGCAGAATGCTTCCTCCATTTTTTAAAAGTAAAAATCTACAATGGTTATGTAGGATCACTGCAGGCAGAGCCATCATTTATTAGCATGGAGAAAGTACTATATATAGAGTAAGATACTTGGCAAAGTGAGTAAACTACTTCTAGCTATCTTGGCTCCAAAGCATGTCCTGTTGACAAGGACAGGAACAGAGTCCTGAGTTCTTGCTTGTCAGTGTTTTGAAAGATGAGTAACAAATAGGTTATACAGATCATGTCCATATATGTGCTATGTAAAGTTTTCTTTTGGCTACAGATGTACAAAGAACATAATTGTTTCTAGGTGAAGACCTATGGAAGGACTTCACATTTCAATCTAGAAATGATATAACACAAACTTATTACTGGTCTGGGAGAGAGTGAGGGGAGGGCACTGTGAACAATAGTGACTTGTTAAGTGAACAGACATCTTTAAAACAGGGGGTTGTTTGTTTTGTTTTAAATCAAACACCATGATTTGAGTCACCAAGGTATTTTACTTTTAGTACAACACATTAGCTAGTAGGTGAATCCGCAGGTGAATCCCATGCTTGAGGATGGAAAGGTGAATTTCTTACAGGCATGATGGGGGGTCCAGAGGAAGTGGAAACACAAAAAACACCTGCTGCTGTAATGCAGGATACTCAGCCTGTTGTCACAATTTCTTCTGCCAGTATCCAGTTTCCAGAATTCCTTGAAGTATAAGGGAAAAGGAATTTATTGAGTCATGTGACTGTTGCAATACTTAAATGAAATTAATTTACATTTAGAAGAGTGATGTGATCAAATGGGTGTGACGATATGTTGAAATAAAAAAATACGGGGAGGCACCTTTTAAGGTTCTGCAGGAAGTATGTTTCTTGCAATAAAGTGGTATTTGAGAGACAGAATTAGGGTTTTTTTGTGTTTTGGAAATTGAAGTGAAATGCTTTAGGTACCTTTTGACAGTACTGGAGGAGATATGAAGCCCCCCAAAAAAGTGTAAGTCTTGATTTTAATTTCTTAAGTGCAATGTTCATTTGGTATTAGAAAAATATATCAAGTTCTTCTATGAATTTTTGATGTGCCAAGAAGCTAATTGGGAAAGTTAAAAGCTTTAGTGTGCTTTATAAATTACCTGCTTTGTATCTTCTGTTTGCTCAAAATGAGTGCATGTTCACAGCTTGTACCCAAATAATTATTTCTCTCTAAACATCATGCATGGAATGCCAAGTTACTGCTATGGACACAATGATTGAATTCACTTCATAATAGCTCTTGTATACATCTTGAAAATATAGTTGATTTACAGAAATGGTTTATATATTCAAAATACAGAGAAGAAAAGAATATTCAGTAAATTCCGGAGTCTGAACCTGTGGAGTTATCTTCTGATGGTCTTTCAGACGAGTTGAAGGAAATAGCTGATAAGACAGGTTTATTAAAAATAGGGAGAGAAATCCAGCTTTTATGGAAGATATAATTGGCATGTGCTGGTGACATTGTAAGTAAAATTCCATCTGTTTTGGTTTAATGAGCACTTTATCTTGAAAGCAGCAATGACTGGTATGGTATTATTTTATATCAGAATAAGAGCCTCAAATGCACATGGTAAATGCATGATTTGTAGGTCTATGTTCTGAGCAGTGGTTTAATGCTGAACTTGGGCCTTGATCTCACAAATGCATGCATTATTATCTTTAAACATATCCTAGGTAGTTAATGGGTTTTTTTACTTGAATAGGACAGTAATTTAAAAAAAAATACTATGTCTCTATTTACTGCTCTTCTTCCTTTTAAAATAATGAAGCCTAGTGACTGAATTATAAGAGTCAACACACGTAAAAAGAAATATAGGCAGCATTTCCTAATATAGGAGTGCAAATTCCAAAGGGTGTAAAGATTGCAGTGATAAAACCTTGGTCTAGAAATTTCAGTAATCACTTGGTTACTTTACACAGAGAGTAAAATGGAACAATTACAATCGAAAAAAAAAGGATGCATGGATGGACACAGGAAGCTGCAGAAAGCTTTTAAATACAAAAGCACTACTAATGTATCTTGGTTATAGAACTAAATAAATTTTAAGCAATCCTACTTTAGAGATGCCCTGACAGAATGTCAGGTCAGAACAGCAAATATGTGTTAAGGCTTTCCAAGGCTAAGTTGGCCCCAAATACTTTTGAAACCACTAATGGATTAAGATAAAGGAACTAGTCACTGAGAGACAGAAAAATGATAGACCATAAACTTAGAAGAGACAAATGATGCAATAGAATAATTGGTATGAAGCGGCTTGAAACTAAAAGGATACTGAAGTGTGAGTAATTTCTTACACAGACATACTGGACATGTTTTTGTAGTCCGTAAGACTTCTTGAAGACAAGAAGCCCATCTGTGACATGCTTGGTGGCTCAAGAAATACTTAATGTCCCAAATATATTTTCTGGCTGGTGTGGTAAATCAAAAAGGTAAATATTTACAATTGATTTTTTATCAAAGATCCCTTAGAAATAGTGTTAGTTGTAGACATTAAGGCAGTGGTTCTCAAAAGAGGGATCACAAGCCCAAATGGGATCATCCAAGTGGCGATGCAGAAGGTGATTTTGCAACCAGAAGTGAGATAATGAGCCTGAAGAGCAAATGAAGTAAAATCATAGACCAAAAGTTTGATAACTTGTTGAAAACAAGTGAGCCATGCCCTGCATGACACCTGCATGCTTCTTAATTCATTTAATAATCAGCATAGAAGTGGTCAAATGATTGCAATCTGATTAGACTGATTGGGACACTGCCTGGAGACCTCTCTCCTCAAGATGACACACAGTTTTTTTCAGCTGCAATGACATAAAAGATTGTAATGAATATGTAAACATACATCTATTCATATAAGTCCTAAATGCCATGTAATTACTGTTTAGTATTTTCAAGAGCCAGTAACCGAACTTTTAAGTATCACAACTGAACAGAGTATTCACTCTTTCATCAAGGAAAATTGGGCAAATGAATAATGAGCCAGAGTGATCGTGCTTGCATGGAATGTGGGACAGAAGGGGAAACCAAACCCACTGTGAAACTTTCTATGTGAGTAACCTCATAAGAATCAGCATCTGTAAGCTGATAAATACAAAGGCGTAGCAAGTCATTCACCAATAAAACTACCTATTTTTATTTATAGAGGCTGCATGCTATTTAATCCTTATTTATTGCTACTGTCTGAGATCAGTCATGACTGCATGTTTTGCTGTGGGTAGACCAGACATGATGAAAAAGCTTTATAATCATGGACTTTTAAAATAAAATTACAAGTTAACTCTTGCTGGAATTTCAGTGAATAAAGATACAGAACTGGAGACTCTTACTAACTTGATACTCAATAAATGGAACATAAAGGTGATTCTTTTCATTTGGGAATGGCTCACATTGAGGATCGCTTATAAAGGAAAATATTCTGAATATCTTACATCTCCTTTTAATGCCCTGCCAAATGGTAATTTGTGTAATAAAAAGTTTATAGGTCATATATCAATTGCATGTATCAATTTTCAGATCTCAAACGATTTCAGTAATATTTAGCTTATCTTCATATTTTAATTTCTTAGTCAAGTGGAGATTATTTGAAGCAAATTAATTTCCTTTGGTGAAAAAGATTATACTTTCATGGAAAAGAATCATTGTGCTTCATCAGTATTTTTGCATACACAGACAATTACAAATAACTCTTAGACCCACCTACGTGGTTTTGTCTTTGATTTTGTTTTGAAATCTCCAAGAGCTCATCATTGATATATTTTACTGTATGAATGTGTGGAAATCTTAACAAGCTTTGTTCAA